GTATATATATATATATATATACACACACACACACACACCACTTTAGTGTTCTTGCAGAAAACCCCTTCTCAACAGTGGGTTAGGGAAGTACATATACACTGTGAGGCAACACCCTTCACTGGGTTGGTTCAGAGAAGCAAATCATATAACAGTGGAAACGGGTAAAGAAGGAAAAGAGGCACATTCCAGCATAGAGGATTTTATTCATGGATCACCAAAAGAGCAAGACCAAAGAGTGAGTCAAGCGGAGAATTTGATTTGATGGGACATGATACAGCCTGCGAGGTTCCAGTTGGCCAAAGGAATCAGACAAGAGGGATGATGAATGAGAAAGGACCAGAACAATGTGGAAAGGACAAGAGAGGGAAAGATGGAACTATAGTGGAAAAAAATTTGAAAGGTAGTAAACATGGCTGATTGATTGGTAGAAATTGAACAAACATGTAAAAAAGGCCAAAGTGTTGGCAATATTAGGACGACCTGGTGGGAGATACTGGCTGACAGACCAGTGTGGAAACCAGTGTAGAAGAGCAATATAAATGGAATAAAATAAGGGCTACAAGGTTGTAGAAGCCTGACTGATGAGCAAGAAAATGTACAAATCTCACGCGTAAAAAAAGGGATGAAACTTCTGGATAAAAGAGATCTATGAGGTTGTAGCTGACGTTACCCATACAGAAAGAAATGAGACCAGTCTTGGCTGAGACCATCCACAGCCAGGGAGCAGTAGAAGGGAAGTTTATTATTGAGAGGAATGACAAAAGCATTGATCATTCACATGACCAACTGCAGACAGATCCAATGAAAGACCTGAGGATGGAGTGACCACTCTATAGAAATAATCATGTCTGGTCAAAAGAGATGATTTGCCATTAAGTTCAAAGCCCAAGGACATGACAGACAGGTAGACAACCCTGATATGAATTGGTCTAAAACAGAAAGTCCAATGTGCAGAAGCAAAGATCCTTGGAACAAGTCTCACACTAAAGATCAATATGGGAAACAACCATAGAATTGTCCGAGTAGATCAGAAAATGATTCACAAGTTAAAGTAGGAAATAGGAGCAAGCCTAACTTATGGTAAAGAGTTCCAGAACATTGATGTGGAAAATGAACTCTACATGAGACCAAACCCCTGAGTTCATTGAGTTATCCAGAGATGCACTCCAACCCATTAGAGATGCATTGGGTTTTTAGGGGACAACAAAAAAACAAGAATAAAACCCTGGAGAGCAGCAAAGAATATTCTTGATGACTCTCTTGTCCAAAATGTCCAATACTGCAGAATACTGTAGCCTCAAGGTGCAGAAAATGTTCAGGACCAGAAAGAAGAGGAAAAGGAATGGGGAAAAAAGACAGAGCAGGAAGAGTTGAGAAGTGAAGAGACTTGTGTAAGAACTGGAATGACCTATTGGACAGCTATAAATGGTGTCCAGACATCTGCAAACAGAAACCCTCACAAGATCTGAGTCAAATGGGTACAGAGGAAAGTAGTCACTGATAGGAAAGGTGATGGCAACTCAATAGAAGTGAGAGAGCAAGAAGTAGAAGGATGATAGCAGGGAAAAGAAAGAGGTGGTGGGTTTACAGGGTTGAGAAATGTGCATGGATTCACAGGGTAAAGAGAAATGAGAAACCAAAAAGGAAAGATAGTGTTGGTGTTGGGCAGCCTTGGCCCAAGTCTTTAAGGTGTTAACTGGTGTCAGATGGAGGTCATTAAGTAAATATTGGTGAAACTGAACAACAGATAGAACAGTGTCACATCCCAGAAGGTCCCTACAACAGAGGAACCAAGTAAGAATGGAAAAAGCAGAGAACGAAACCCTTGTCAAGGTACTGAAAAGTACCAACTGAGAATTTCCAGAAGTATTAGGATCACAATGTAAGGCTTCAGAGAGGAAATAAAGAGAGGATAGGTAAGGAAGGAGGTGGGTAAGAAAAAGGCAAAGACATCAAAACTGACCACTAGAGTTATTGGAGATAGGAAAAGGTGAGCCTCCCAAGATGGTAAAAGTGACTCCAGGAATTGAGAATCCAAGAATTGAAAAGAGAAACTGCCATAAACCATGCCAAAGGAATACTGGAGTTGAGGAGGAGGAGGGGGTGTTTGAAAGTATTAACAAAGTGTGTCAGCATATACACGTCTGGAGAAGTAGGAAAACCAAAAAATTATCAGCCTGAGAGCCATGTAGTAAAAAAACAGGAAAAACCAAAATACATAGTTGAAAGAGGAAGTAAAGAACAAACCTGAGAAATCAAGTCTACAAACAGATTTAAAAGAGGAACATTGTAAACATAGTCTAGTACTAGCCCATGAGGTGGAAAGAGCCAATCAAGATTGTCATCCTCATGGTTGGGTTCAAAAGGGAGGAATGCACTTTCAAATGTAGGGACAGGAAGATGAGGCAATGGTAGAATGTCCTCCAGAACCAATTAGCCTCCAGTGGCCACAGACAAAGTAGGATCAATGTTAACAGCATCGTCAGAACTCTGGGAGGAGATAGTAGCCACCATCACTTGAGAATTCATTGTTATTAAGGAAAATCTCCAGTTAATTGTTTTTTTTTATGTATTCAGTAAATGAATGGCAATGAAGGTTGAAATCAAATAAAATGAGTAAAAGTTAACTCTAGAATACATGCAGCACAAATC